AAGGAAGCAAAGATTCGCTCCTGTGGCCGCCGGAGGAAGCCTCCCGTGGTTCATCTGGGTGAAATCAAAACTGGAAAAGACAAAGTTGCCTCTGGTTACTTATTCAAGGAGGAATTTGCATGGGGAAAGTGGGCTGCTATGACCTGCCCCCCCAAATCCCACTTTATAAGATTAACCCAAGATCATTTAAATTCCCCTTTGTCTCCTCTGGAGAGGCTGCTTGATTAGGGTCACCTGAGGTCTTTCAGTGATCTCTGCTACAGTGCAAAGAGGTGCTCCGGGCATGGTTCTGCCTGCAGTATCAGGAAGAAAAACCCATCTGAATAGTCCACGGAAGCTATTAGAGCATCGCCGCTGTCATGACTCCTTCACAGGTTCTTTAAGGGATGATTTACCATTGGAAACTGAGTTGCTTTCAGAAGGATCCAAAGTTCTAAAAGCAAACCTCGACAACTATATTTCTAGCACCACAACCATGAAAGTTCTGGTCTGTCCTCCGAGGAGGAGACAAAAAAGCAGATATTGTTTGCTGCAGGAAAGAACACTGGCTTAGGGAGCAATGCCTAGGTCAGTTTCTGGCTCTCCACCACTCTCAAGCACAGGGCTTCAAATAGAGCATTTTTTCTTTGGGCTTTCAGAATGGGTTGGATTAAATATTAATTATGCTTCCTCCCCACTCAAACATTCTAAGAATCGAACGTAGAATGAAAACACCTGAACTCAAGCCATGAACCACAAGTTAGGTGATCTGGATTCTAGTCCTACTCTATTAACCTACTGCATGACCTCGGACAAGTCACAGGGAAAATAAAAAGTAGCCAGTCCGTTTCTGCACTCACCATGGAGCACTCACCAAGTTCAAGGAAGTCAGCATTATAAGAGTTATCGTACCAGTTCTTCATAAGAACTTGATGTCGCATTATTATGTTCATTTTGGAGAGAAGGAAATTGAGTCTCAGGTTATACAAGATCACCCAGCCAGCAAGTGGTTAGGTTAAATTTGAATCCATGACACCCGTCATGTTTCCTTGAGACTCTTCGAAAGATGTAACTTGCCAGTGTGACCTCAGAAGATAGTTGGGTGATTACAATCCATTTATCTATCCACAAATCCATCCAGCCAGCCAGCCAGACGGCCATTCATCGTGCATATATCATCACTGAAAAGCACAAAGCACTACAAAGACAGAGGGTATAGTATTTCTACTTATATCTGAGAAGAACCCTTAATACAGTTAGAGGAGCAGCTCTTAAATGCAGTCCAAGGAACCCCAAGGATCCATGGACAGGATGCAGACAGTCTCTTAATCTAGGAAACTGAATGCAAAAATTGTGGGCATGTATGTGTCCCAGTTCTGGAGCAAAGGCTATGGCTTTCATCGTATTCTCAGAGATTTCTCTGATCCTCAAGAGTGTAAGAATCACTGGTCCAGAGAAATGGAACTGAAAACACTCCACTTGCTATATCTCATTTGTTCCTTATAGCCACACTAGGCAGTGGGCACTACTTTCTCCCATTTTATGGATGAGAAAACTGAGACTCAGACACCCAAAGCAACCTTCCCAAGGCCACACAATTAGTTTGATGGAGGTCACTGCTGGCTCCCTCATAGCTCTTCCATCCCAGGTGCTTAATCTAAGGCACTAAATGTATAGTGCTCTCCTGGTGAATGCTAGTAGACCAGGCATGGGAGTATGTCCAACACTCACCCAGTTAGACTTATATTCCATGGCTGGGTTTTCTGCCTCTCCTGCTTAGGGGAACCAGCCTTAGGAGAAAGCTTATGCTAAGAGGAAGCTGACATTAAAATTGGCACAGTGGTAGAGTGGTCAGATAAAATACAGAATGCCCAGTTCAATTTGAATTTCAGATAAACAATGAATAATGTTTTAGCATAAGTATCTTTCTAATAATGCATGTGGGGCATACCTTTATACTACTGAAAGAGTATTACTTATCTGAAATTCAAATTTATCTGGGTGCCCTGGATTTTTATTTTTATTTTTATTTGCTAAGCATAGCACAGTGGAGAGAACCAGTACATGACGACCATCCAGCACCTGAAGCCTGCACTACCTCTGAACCTTGGTTATGCAAGGTCACTGATTCCTGCACTGTTTAAGCAGTCTAGAATTTCTGTCACTTCCACCCCAATGCATCCTACCTCATGCAGCAAGTCAGTTGTTCCAACCCCAGCAGGAAGGGTGCAGAGTGCAAGCTCAAAGCACCATACCAAATCCTAGCGGGGCAGAAACTCAACACCATATTAAAAGCTACAAAGCCAATGTAGGACAGTGAACTTGTTGTGTGTTTTTTTGTTTTTGTTTTTTTTTGGAGCTGTAAGAATGCAACTTGACACACTTCCTGGAATTCATCAGATTCTCCTCAGTCAATGTAAATTTTTTATTATATAGTCATAGAATGTGAATTCATTTACACTGTAAAACTCCTTCATGAATACTAACAAACTCTAAAGTCATGCCAAAGATGACTGCTCATAGCCACCAAAACCACAAAAACAAAAGCACATAGCAATTCCAGATGAGGGATCCCAATTTGTAGACATTAATGATAAATTTCCATGTAATTTTGTTTCCAAAAAAAAAATCAATCAGCTCCATAGAAAAATTTGACTTTAGATCAAATCTGAAGCATTATAATCAAATAAAATAGCAAGGAAATTATGGGAGTGAGTAGAACTGAATGACTGAAGGGGTCACCACAGGGCTGAATTGCTATTTAAGGGTAAACGCATGTGTACGTGTGTGTGTGTCTTGGGCATACTGTTTATGCAGCATCAAAAATCAAAAGGTAATGAACCCAAGATGTTTATATGCAGTACCAGGTATATGATCAATGAACAAAATCAAGATGTCGCATTAGGCATTACCGTTTTGAAGAGACCAGACAAGTGCATCCACCAGTTCTGAAGCCCTGCTCTGGTGCAGAGACTTCCCATGGCATGGAACACACACCATTAACATCACCATCATCTGGGCTCCCTTCAAGCTCATAAAAGGCTATAATTTAGGCCCAGCCGCCATGGCTCAGTGGTTGAATGTTCACCTACGAACCAGGAGGTCACGGTTCAATTCCCAATCAGGGCACATGCCTGGGTTTCAGCTCGATCCTTGGTCAGGGGCCTGCAGGAGGCAGCCAATCAACGATTCTCATCATTGATGTTTCTATCTCTCTCTCCCTCTCTCTTCCTCTCTCTGTCATCAATAAGAACATATATTTTTTAAAAGGGGCTATAATATAGGGTATGTCAGTACAGAATAACTGTGAAGTTAAGAAAAGTCCTAACAAATGTATCTTTGGAAAAAGCAATATATATGTGTATACGTATGCAACTGTATTAAAAGAAATTTGATGTACAATATCCCTGGACATAATCATATCAAAATGTTAACTGTCCCCAAGTTAATCTATAAATTTAAAAAACTCTGAATCAAAATACCAATAGGCATGGGTTTTGGGGGGGCCAGGGGGTTGTGTGTGAGATCAGAGGAGGACCTAATAAAATATTTAAGTTTATCTTCCTAAAAATGAGCAAAGGGAAGGAGATGAGCCCAAACAGATGTTGAAAGTATTATAAAGTAAAACCAGAATAATGTGGTACAACCACAGGACTATATAGAAAACTCAAAGGAACAGAACAGAAAGTCCAGAAACTGATCCATGTACCTATCCAAGAATCTGTTCATTCATACAGGCATCTAAAATCCACAGGGAAACACTGAATTTTTCAATAAACAATGTTAGCTACCATGTAGGAGAAAAGAGCATGAGTGGCCTGTGAGTTCTGCTGGCAAGATGGCTTTTAAAAGCCTGAAGAGCTAGGTGCCTACAAATAGATGGACAAGGAACGCGTGGTACATATGCGCAATGGCACATCTCTCAGGAAGGCGGAGAAACTGAAATCTTACCATCTGCAGCAACACGGATGGACACAGAAGGTGGCATGCTAAGTGAAATAAGTCGGAACGAGAGAGACAAATACTGTACGATTTCACTTACATGTGGAATCTAAAAAAACCAAACCAAACGAACAAACAAAACAAAACAAAACCGACTCATAGAAACAGAGAACAAACTGGTGGTTGCCAGAGGGGAGGTGGCTGGGGACTGGGCGGAGAGGCGGAGGGAGCAAGAGGGACCAACTTCTAGTTAGAAAATAAATCAGTCATGGGGCCCAGCCGGTGTGGCTCAGTGCTTGAGCTTCGACCCATCAACAAAGAGGTCACCTGTCCGATTCCCGGTCAGGGCACATGCCCGGGGTTGCGGGCTTGATCCCCAGTAGGGGGTGTGCAGGAGGCAGCCAATAGACGTTTCTCTCTTATTGATGTTTCTAACTCTCCACCCCTCGCCTTTCCTCTCTCTCTAAAATCAATAAAAACATATTTAAAAAAATAATAAGTCATGGGAATGTAATATACAGCACAGGGAATGTAGTCAATAATATCATAATAACTTTATAGGGTGACAGATGGGTCCTAGACTTATTGTGGTGATCACATTGTAAGGTATATAATGTTGAATCACTATGTTGTACACCTGAAGCTAATATAATATTGTATGCTCACTATAATCAAGTATAAATAAAGTAAAATACAAAATCTTTAAAAATCTGAAGTGGCAGAAGACAAACAGTAAAACTCTCCCATCCATGGAACAGTAAGAGTCCATCCTGGAACAGTAAGCTGAAGGGCTATAGTCATGCACCTTCAACTCCTGGTTTCCCAGCAGCATTCCCAACAAGAAAGGGGTGCCCCCTTCCACCCTGTTGGACTTCACTGGGTTTCCTTCACCCTTCCCCCCACCCCAACTCCTCTCTGCAGTCAGAACTGCCCTACCACCCACTCTTCCCCGTAGGACAAACGGATTCTGGAAAATAAAAGATTTCTCTACACGTGTGGGATTCCCCCGTCTCCCTAACTGTTGTAAGGTGCCAATACGAACAATTCGAGAGTTACCCAAGATCAGGAATAAGTCTCACCTGTTTCCTCTTTTCAGGGGGGAGTGATGGATCTCCATCCTACAAAGAAACAAATACTACATTGAACCAAACTATGAACTAAATTCAGGCCCTCCCAAGTCCCACCCCGTGCAACCAGTAACGTGCTGAACCAAGCTCAAATGTGCTTTTAAAAAGTTAACTATAACCTGAGCCAGACTTATTTTGGAAAAACCTCTAAGGAATCAGTTCCATTTAAGACCAAACCCATATATTTTCTAAAACGATGTGAGCCAAAACAAACAAACAAACAAACAAACAAACTAGATTTATCAAAATTATTTTTGAGCAGAGCCAAACTTTTATTTCATTTGGTTTCAATTGAGTTCCTCTTTAAATAGATCAAAAGGAATATTAATGGACATACATACACACTTGAGTTTTCTTTATCAACAGAATAATTTGGGGGGGGTGGAAAAAATATGCTCAAAATAAAAGAAAATTAACTGAGAACTTCCAGTCCCATCAGACTTTTTGTCTTCAAAGGATTCAATTTCTCTCCCTTGTGGGTCATCCAGGAATTCAAATATCTTAGGTAAATGAGTAAATGCTCAATAAATGAGTACACTTTTATCTGATGCTGTCCATTACAGGTCAACGTTATTTTAACCTGAGGAATCGTTCTACTCTGTTTCTGTTCCAGGGCAGTGCAGGAGCCCAGCACAAACGGTTAAATGTTAGCAATAGTTTCAGCACTTTAAAAAGAGGCTGTCTCCATGAGAAACAAAGGAGCAAGAATGCAAAACAGTACATTGCCTTGGTATCCTCCATTTTGGTATCATTTAAATCCTTAAAAATCTTGCCATAAGAAACCCTAGAGAAAACCTAAATGCTCATGATTAGAGAAAGGTTAAAAAATTATGAAAATATTACTATGCAACTGTGTTTAAAAATGAACTAAATGTGTACGTATGGCCTAGAGAGATGTCCAAAATAAAAGTGTTGAGGAAAGGAGCAAGTTTTAGAACAACATTTATACAGTGCTGTCCAACAGGACCCTGCAGGGGTGGACACATCCTATATAGTTGCCCCCATGAAGCCGTTCCATCGCCATGCAGCTTACTACAGTTGCCACCAGCCAGCCACCTATGCCAATTAAGTCCATGAAATGCAATGAGACTGAAGAACCGAGTTTTCAATTCTCCTTAATTCTAATTAGTTAAAAATGGAGTTTAAATAACCACGTGTGGTTTCTGTAGCAGACAGTGCAGATTCATAATACGAATCCTCTTAAAAAGGCTCCATAGGCACAAATGGATAAGCCAACACACACAGACACACGTGTGTCTCCCAGGTGTGGGAGCCAGCAGTCGGGAGGCACTGGGCTGGGACTGGAAATAGGACTGACGACTTTCACTTCTTAACTTTCCCACTTTGGAACTGTTGGAGTTCAACCCTATCTTGAATAAACGGCATGTTAAAATGCCCTTTTGCTGTGCCAGCGAGGGAACAGGGAAGCCACCCTGGCGTAATACGTACGATCAGCTCTCGGTATTTCTTCTTCAGGGACTGGTGGCGTTCTCGGAGCTGGTTGGCCATGAGTTTGTACTGGTCCCTTTCCTGCTGGCATGTGTCCAGCTCCTTGGACAGGATCAGCAGGGCTTCCTTTTTACTCTCCAGCTTCCTTTTGCACACCAGGTACTGCAAAATAAATCCAGGCCTGGTCAGAAGGTCAACGGGACTCCATCCGCCACACCCTGCAGGGGTGGGATTTTTGTTTTGTTTCGCTGCTTGTTTTGTTTTTCCGGATCATACTCCCCAGAGACGCTTGTTAGCAACCGACACGTGCACCTAAAGGCTGCTACAGACCTGACCTATCCCTCATGACAGCACCCAAGCCTTGGATGTTCATGGGCTTTGTCAAACTGGGGCAGATCAAACCATTTCATTGACAAATAAGTAAAACAGTAGAATATTTTTTTTAATTCCATAGCTAAATAAATAGATAGCTGGACCCCAATTTGCTTAAAAAGGATTTCTATATCCAGATACGATTATGTAAAATTTTGTTAAAATTTTACAAAAGGATATACACAGAAAGACATTTAATAAGATATTTGTATATTACCAGCAATTACCTCTTGGTAGCAAAATTATGTGCATGTTTTAAAATTTTTATTTTTTATGTTTTTCTGTTCTCTAAATTTTCTAAAATAAACCCATATGGCTTCTATAATTTTAAAAACACACAAAAAATGTTAAGAAAAATAACTTAATTGAACCACAAATCATTGCAAAAGATTGCACCTGTCCATACAACACAGCAGATATTTTCTCGCTTAAGAATTTTTGTTCACCAACTTGGCCAAGATATGCACAGCTTCTGTGATTCTAATGCAGCCTCCCCTGTCCCACCAGAGACCAATTTTCTGAGCTAAGTACTCTGGGCACATTTTGAATTACCCCCAAACAGGTGTACCTTGCAGAAGCTCCCTGTCCCTCCTTCCCCCCCGCCCCTGCCTTGAACCACCCCGCCTGACAATCACCCAGCACACGGGCCAGCGCCAGCCCTGCCCGGGGCCTTCTCTACCTTTGTTGGGTGTGCGGCACCGTCTGGTGCTGTTCACGTATGTGAAATGTGGCATTAAATACCTTTTGAATTTGCCCCGTAAAAGACCAAATTCAGAGCATTCATGAAAACAATTTATAGTTTCATTATACACTCTGACACGAGCACTTTGTCATTATGGACGCTCACACAAAGCGGAGAGAATCAGCACTCCCGAAACGTTGGAGTCAATGCTCTTTTATGGACAAAAAGCATTACTCACATATAGTGCTTGCTCGGAACCGACTTTGTTAAGTTCAATTTCAAATAAATGAAAGGGGAAAAAGAGAGTTTTGTGCATGAGCACAATTTTTTTTTTTCCTTAAAAAAAAAAAATGTAATTGCTTAGCTTCCAAAACAAAGGGGAGAGAAAAGCCATTCTGAGCCGGATTTGAGTTCTGAGAGGACGCTTCCACCTTGGAGGAATCTTACTCCGGGCAGTAATGAGGTTGGAATCCTGCCTTAAAATGTCCTGGATTTTAAGACTTTGACACCATCTTCATGGAGGCAAAATGGTTCTGTTGCCACAGTGATTTCTAAAGAGTAAAATCCCCAATGAGTAAATATCAAAGGCGAGTGGCTGAGAAACCTAAGCTGCTATGTCCTAAGGGAGGTATTGAGATTTCACAGGAAAAAAATACCGTTTACACACAATTGAACAGAGCTGCCCTTGTGCCTTCAGTTCTCTGTCTGTAATCAGCAGCCTCGGTTTTCAGTGCTATTAGTATTAGTGGCACCAAAACAGCCACCTTTGTCCCTTCCATTTATCAGATCCAAATCTGAGGCCCCAAAGATACTCAGTGTCTTCCGACTTTGGGGAAGAAAATCCCAGTGGCGTGGGGACATTGTAAGGAGCAGTAGGCAACATGAGTTGTAACATCCAGCCTACTGAAGGGGAACAGGTCAGGGCCGCCACTATTGGCAAAGTGGAAATTCAAGTTCCCTGATCTTGAACTTCAATCAGTTAGGGTCCAAGACAGAAGTCGTTTCTCTCCCAGGGCCTGGTCCACAGGGGGCCTCGGAAGCTGTGACTCCCTGCCTTTGGGTCTAAGGTACCTGGCAGAAAACAGGCATAGAGGCCTCTGTAAAGACCCAGTGACCAGGATACGAGGTGCAGGGTCACTGCAGCTCGGTTCCCCTCAGGGCATGGAAAACAGAACAGTTATGACTCCACTAAAGGGTAAGAAAGCAAATGCATTCTGTAGAGCAGGTGAAGCCACACCCACAAAAGGCTGATCTTTACAAAGCCACTGCTGGATGCTCCTTCTGCTTACTATGGTCTAGAACAGTGACATTCAATAATTTTATTCCACATCAATTATTTTTATCAGTAGAACAAATCTTAGGCTGAAACCTCATTTCTAAAGCAGCTCATAGTGGTGCTGCCCTGGCTGAAGGTGGGACGCCTCCCCCTGGTGTGGCCACATTAACAAGGAGCCCTGGAAAAGACTGCTCTGCATCACCTGGGATGCTTGAGAAAATGCAGATTCCTGGGCCACAGCCCAGGCCCAGTGAACCGGAGTCTCTGGCAACTGGCTTAGGAATCTGAACTGTGAGCACATGGCACAGGTGACTCTCACTCCCATCTACATTTTGAAAACTCAGGCTCAGCAGACCTCCAGCTTCATGGTGTCTCAAAAGTTAGAACCAGCTGCAAACGTCTGGAAGGGCTGAGAGGCTAGCAGCAGCCCACAAGTTCAGGACCAAGGAATGGTCTCAGAATCATCCTGGGGGTGTCTGTGCCACCTTCTGTAGCACAGAGGGGTTCTAAACAAGTACGAGCATTTCCCGAATAACTAGTGATGTTGAGGTGCCACTGTGTTCATTGCAGCATTATTTGCAATAGCCAAGACGTGGAAAAAATGAAGTGTACATCAGGGATGAAAGGATAAAGAAGCGGTGGTACGTATATACAGTGGACTACTACTCAGCCATAAAAAAGATGGCACATTGCCATTAGGGACAACATGAATAGATCCTGAGGATATCATGCTAAGTGAAATAAGTGAGATGGAAAAGGGGAAAAATCAAATGATTTTAGTCATATGTGAGACTATAAAACAAAAAGTAACAAACAAAACAAACAAACAAAAACAAACTCACAGATACAGACAACAGAATGGTGGTTACAGAGGGAAAGGGGAGTGGGGGAGGGCAAAATGGGTAAAGGGTGTCAAATATTTGGTAACAGAAGGAAACTAGACTTTGGGTGGTGAGCCCACAAGAGTATATAGATATCAAATTATAATGTTTTACACCTGAAATTTATATAATGTTATTAACCAATGTTAGCTCAATAAATTTATTATTTTTTTAAACCCCAAGCATAAGCACAGACTATATTTTACTGCATCTGACCAAAGATCCTACATACGCAGAGTCTCAATAAAGTAACAATGGGAGCCTCTGGGAGGTGCGCTTTGGTGGGGTATTGGGGAAGGGGGTGGGATTTCTCACTCTCATTTTAAAATGATGACAGTTTGGTCCCTGTGACAGCAGCTGTTAAGAGGTCCCATTTCCTATCTCTCTAATTGGAAACAAACAATAAAGACCTGGAAGGAAAGAAAAAGGTCCTGAAGATCCTCCTGTTGGAGATCTAACCAACCAGCAAATTCATGGATTTGCTCCTCAGTCTTAGACGGGACCAAGAAGAGCACAGAAAGCCAGGCCAGCGAGTGTGGACGTGTGGGCTCCTAACACAACATGAGTGAGTGTAGATGATAGAGAAGGTGGGCAGCAGAAACCACCAGGCAGCGAGCGGCAGGAGGCGCCCGACCAGATGCAGGTCTAGCGATGAGCTAATCATGATGCACTGGGAGCCTGGGGAAGCCACAGAACACAAGGAACAAAACACACACCCGGCCTGGGCCTCAGTTTCCACACCCTTCAACTTGAGGAACCCACAATTTTAACACCACCATCCAATATCATTGGGGGTGAAGGGTGTCAGGGAAAACGCCGGGGGTGAGGGGCTCCAGGCCTGGAGGTATGACTCGCTTCAAGCACCAAAAACTGCTTCCTCTGCCTTGTCTAGGACAGACCTGGTTCAGTGATTTCGAAAGATCACTCACGACTGTGGCAATGCCAGAATCTCTACATTGCAGGCTTCCGCCACCTGGTTGGAAGGGGTGCTAGAGATATGTTTGCAAGAGCAGATATGATGGCGTGAGGAAAGGCTAATGTCTGTGTGGTCAACATTAGTGTCTCTCCAATATTTCCAGTTCTCCTCTGCTTCCAGACATGTGGAGGAACTTTGAAGTAAGGCAAAGACATGTAACTTGCTTGATCCAATAAAATGGGACTGGAAGAAACATGAGAAACTTCCAGGGTAGAAGCACTTAAGAGTCAAGGTAAGAATTGCCAAGCTTTCTCCTTCCCTGTGGCAACAGCTGTGGAAGCATGTGTTGCTGTGGAGGTGCCACAAGAGCCTGGGGCATGGAACCAACACACAGACAACTGCTCCGGAGAGTCACTTGGGTCCACATAGAAATCTGTGCCATCCAAAAATAAACTTTTGTAGTGTTAAGTTTCAGAGATTGAGGGTGTTTGTTACTAGATCATAACTTAGCCCATCCTGACTGGTATAGTCCATATCAAAGCATGGGGGGTCGGAGACTGGGGGAGATTATACTCGCTCCTGCTTTGTGCTTCTGCTGAGCCACCACACAGATGACCAAGAATAACATTTCACTGTTAACAACAACAAAAGAAAAAACAAAGTTTCGTGACAAATGCTTTCCACGTATGATCACCTTTTGTCTTCATTTTCTAAATGAGAATGTGGCGCTTAAAGTTTATGCCATGTGCCCAGGGATTGGCAGAGCCAGGATTTGAACCCAGATCTTTGTAGAGCCAAGTCTGTGAAACCCTAATTCCTAACCAACAAAGCATTCTCTGCCCTTTCTCCCCAAACTCAGAATATTCCTGGAGTTGGTATTCCCACACACAAGGAAGCTAAGAAAGGGCAGTTTTGAATTTGACTATTTTTTAGACCTAGAACAAATGAGTAAAACCTTTATTGCTTCACCCAAACCCCTCTCTCTAAAACTAGTGGGCCTGCGTCTCCTCTCCTCAGATGCAAGGGGAAAAATGGAAAAGGGGAAAAAAACAAAAGAATCCACAAGCCTCTCTCCCCTCTGCT